CTTCAAAATCTTTTTATATTATTTCAACAAATCTGGACTTGGCAATCTTTATGACAATGGTAAATATGGCCACTCTCGATCCTTGCAACTCACTTGTCCAGGTACATAGCACTGAGATACGGCACCATGGGTGTGAAAAAAAAAAATCTAGGGTCAGTACTAGTCACCACAGCATTATTGACAATTGCAGCACATGGCAAATAACTTAGCCATTATTGATAGGGAATGATTCAGTGCATTTTGTGATTACTGAGAAGGCTCTTGATACCATCAATGGCTGAAAAGAGAGAGAAAAACAAAATATTTATTTAAACAGGACAAGCTATCCTTTATATCTCTTATTGCCATCAAATTGAAAGTGACCCATAGTTGGTCCTCAGTGAGTTTTTGGGAGGTTGTAAATCACACAGGAAAGGACTGTGGATCTGAACCATCAGAGACGTTCTACCTTTAGGTTGACAGCACAACTCCCTACATTCTAAGCCCCAGAAGGCCAAGAGCAAATTTTATGTATGAACCATCTATTTTTCCTCCTTCCACTGATCTATGAATCTAGCCATCCATATTTCAGCCTATGCACTCTCCATTATATTTTATAATTTAGGTAACTGCACATAGAAATAAAAAAAGTCTGGAAGAGTATGTAGGTATTTCATTATGATAATGTTAAACTGGAGTGGATGGTAGAAAAATCTTATCATTTTTACTTTCAATATGTAAAAAGGGCTCAGGTTTCTTTAAAGCAAAATAAGACATGAGGATATTATTTGTCTTTTTGCCCCTTTTCTAATGAATTATGACTGCTTTGAAATGCATAAAAATTAAAGAGCACTTCTCAATCAAGGATGGTGAATACAATCTTCCTTTGTTAATGTAGCATTTTCTCAGCCCAGTGTAATACATACATAATGTCTGCTGTCCACACAGATACGTGAGACTCAACAGTTTGTTATAAAAGTCTCTCTTTCAAGTTGTTGTTGTTATGTGCCATCGAGTCACCTGTGACTCATAGTGACCCTCTGTACAACAGCCCTAAACCCTGCTATGTCCTATACCAATCGCACTTTCTCCCGCACACCCACCCCAATTGCCTCAGTCACTGAATCAATCCACGTTATAGAGGGTCTTCCTCTCCTGCGCTGTCCCTCCACCCTCCCAAGCATGACGTCCTTCTCCAAGGGCTGGTCCCTCCTTACAACATGTCCAAAGTATGTCAGACAAAGCTTTGAATTCCTTCTTCCACAGATCTTAATACCATGTAAAACCTGTTTAGCAGTTAATAATTCTAGTATAATATGATAGCCTCTTTAACACTAGCTTTGACTGATCCCATACATGAATAATTGATGACCAAAGAGTCATATACCATTATTTCATTAAACAATGACGTGGGTCAGATTCCTCCCAACAAAACTTGGCTGCAAACTGCTGTCTGAACTTTACTGAGACAGATCGGCATCTAACATCACAGGGACCTGCTTTCATGTTTTAAAAGCAGGGACCTCTCCTAATTTGTTCAGACGCTTGGCCCTAGTGGACACTGAGAGGCCAGCCCATACTCAGAAGGTGGAGATAGTATTCGTCCCCAGTCACACTCACCCTCAAAGACATGATATTCTGGAAACTCCATGTTTCTGTGTCTGAGCTGAGCAACAGTGGACAGAACTCTGCTAGATTCCTTTTTCTTAATCAGAACGAGGAGCAGGTGTATCCATAGACTCACAGTAAAGGGACAGTCTCTTAAACTCCCTAAACATTCCGAATTCGTATTGACATCAAATGGGTAATATATATTTCGTTACCTTTTGGATGTGAGGCAACACTGAGATTATTTTTTTTAAAAAGAAGACTGAAATATAAGGGAAATTTTAAAATATCCAGAAATTCAGTAGTCATATCATCTGTGGTATAAGGCTTGCTAAAACGTCATTTTATTTAATCAGTCAGGAAAACCCTGAGCTATTATTTGTACATAAAAGAAGAGGAAAAGTCACAAAAAAGGCTACTTAACAATCATACCTTCCATTCACCTCAGTTTACTGACAGTGAATTAAGGCGATTCACACCTCCTGGCTCGGATCTCTGCTGGGTGAAGCAGATGGCTGTATTTCTATGAATTTCATATTAACAGCTAAGTCTACTTCCTTTGTGAATGGGTAACATTTTCAGGACAGGAGGCCACAGTGCAGAGCTTGGGAAGCAAACAGACTATTTCAATAAATCAAGTTTAAGTGGACTGCTTATCTGAACTATGGGGCAGAGTGCACTACTTTCTGGGTGATCAGATGTGCTGGTGTTCGTATGGTCTTGCTTTTCTGTCCACTTCTTCTGGTGCAAGGCTCTCTTCCTTTATTTATTGCTCATTCTATTCCACTGATTTTATCCTATTATCTATTTTTGATGACAAGTCTAACTTTCATTAAATGATACCTTCTCACATATGTAGGTTCCTTTAATTCTGTGAAGTCACTGATGATACAAGCGAGTGCGACGTCAGTCACACAGTCATTCTCCTTTCTGGTGGTTATATGAAACTTAGACATTTCTGTTTATAAATGGATCCAGTATTACCATATACACAGAGAAAATTAGATTCTTAATAGAATTCTTGGGTTTGGTTGTATTGGAAAAATTCTCACTAAAAGTGAATAACACAGTACCTCTTACGGAAATAACACGCTTATTTTATGTTTTTACATGAGTGCTCGATGCCAGTGCTATTTTACTTAGGGCCATCTTTTCTGCACAAGTCAAACATGGACATGTTATTTATGAGGGCACATAAAGTGTAGAAAACACAGTATTTGAGGCCAGCGGATGGTGGTGTCTCATGGTTGAAAGGATTTCTAGTACTTTGCTTGCTGTCCTTAGCTTTCTGATACCAACTGCTTCTACACTGTTCCAATTCCAGGTTATTATTGATGCCTGGACACATTCTCAGTTGGAGAGGAGACAGTGAGAAGTAGTGCATCCGCTGGTTCTCTTCTGTGGTGCTACCTTTGATTTTTTGGTCAACCCTACACGGTGCTTATGTTATGTGTCTGCTAGATGACCAAGGTGGACTCAAGGATGGGCCGTTTTACACAGTAATCAGAGAACAATTCAGAACAGGTATTGATGAGAGACGTGTTCACTTTCTCCAATTCTGCTGTTCCACAGGGCAGGTGAGTCAAGGGGCCCAAGAAATCACATAGCAGATAATGACTTTGGATTCAAAGTGTCAAAAATGGTGAAGTCAAAAGGCTGCCAGTATTCACCCACTCGGAGGTGCCCAGGAGACCCAGCTGGGGATCTGCTTCCAAAACGCCCCAGTCTGGAGACACTGGGGGACAGTTTCATCTGGCACACTGGGTGTTACCCTGAGTTAAAATCAACTAGAAACAAAGGTATCAGCAGTTCCTGGTGGGTGTACCATCACCCTGCTTGACTGGTAATCAAAGGACTGAACATCTCTGTAACTAAGGGGTATCCTCGAAGAAAGACCTGGAGAAAGACTACCCCAAATCTTTAAGAACTTGTACCGTTCTACTGTGGCACTCACAGGGTCACCACGAGTTGGAGGAGATGCCTTTACAGCTGATCTTCCATACACTGGGTTAGCTCAGCTGAGAAGTACACCATGGCCTGGGTCAAGTTCGGAGAGGTTCTTTCTAGCCCAAAGTAGCCTGGAATTTGTTCTACTAACAAGTGCTGAACTAAGAATTTTCACTCCATGTATCTCAATCCATGTCAGGCAGTCTACTGAGGCATCCAGGCGACAGTTTCACAGAGGAGGAGTCAATGGGTCCAGGACTGTGGTCCTGGAGGACGGTGCATGCTTGTTCAATCAGTGTGCTTTTACCTGCCTTCAAAAAAAAAACACACTGGGGGAAAGCTGGCTACCTGAACATTTTCTTCTATATATTTTAGGTTCATAGAGATCCATCTCAGCTTTTTCAAAGTGAATTTGAAGAAAGATTCATTAGTAAGAACTAAAACCTACATTTATCATGATTTGTACAGGCACTTCAAACATGACAGATATTTCTTTCAGATGAAGAATGATGACAAGTTACAAAGATACACTCAACTTGATACACTGAACACAATATGCATGTATTTTACATTCAAAACAATTCACTGCAATCACACACTTGAATGATCCCGCTGTACACCCTACTGTGAGTAAGAACATGCCCTTTGAAACCCAAGAAACCTGTCAAAGGTTTCCCGGTGACTCTAACAATCACGTTTGAATCTAAAAGACTTCACTCATCAGACCTTTGTTTATCAGAGTAACATATTAAGCCAGTGCCAATCAGTTGTACATTCTTACTCTCTCTAAACCCTCTTTAATGTCATGTGGCTTAAACAAGATTTGACAGACAGTAAAATAAAAGTGGGTTTGAATTAACAACTTTGGACAAAGTGCTCTTAAAGAGGAATAATATTTTTGTTCATTATTTTAAGAAAGAGCTTTTCCTATGCTTTGCAACTTTAGCTGTCACCCCAAGTATGAACTTGAATTAGTCAGTTAGATCTGGCATAGGTTATATACTTTCTTCTGTCTTCCCTTTAAGCCACCCTCCTACAATCCTCCTTCCTACAACTTAAAAATTGGAAAATATGAGACAAATGCATGTCTTACTAGTAGAATGAATATCCTATCCAACTTTCCATTCATTCATTCATCCATCCACTCATCCAATGAGAAACGGAGTTCTCTCCAGATCGGTGTCATTGATCATAATAGACTTTTTAAGCCCAGGAAAGTAGTAAATATTCTCACAGATACCATATTTGCTCTAAAAATTTGAAGTAGAATTATAGTTTTCTCTTTTTTCTCCTCTCAGATTTGCACTAAGTATTAATAATCTTTAGGATCTTGTCGCAACAATTTAAAAATAAAACAGCAGGATGAAAAAAGTTTCTCAAAACACAGTGATGTTTATCTGGAAAGACACTATCAGCTGGGCTATACAACCCTCTGTATGATGAAGGAGAAGGGTCCTGTCCCTTACCTGGTGTTTGGAAGTTAAGGCGCCTTAGTTCCACAGGATCCGTTGGGTGGTGGGAAGGGACCTCCTTACTATTTGGTATACTGCTCTTTCTAGAGTCGGACTCCGCCCTCTTCCTAAAGGGGGAAAAGGGAAATTTAAGAATAAAACAATAACCAGCAGAAACAGGTTAAAATAGAGCAAAAGAATCTCTCATCCAGGTTTACAGTTTTTAAAACTTTTCGAGCAGCTTATTTTTTGTCCTTCACTATTTCCAACGTGTTTAAGATTTTCATTTAAGTGGATGGCATCGGAGTCTTCCTTCAGGTGTGGTATTAATAATTCCGCAAGTCTGCATATCGTGTTTAAGGAGGGTACTGATGACAGATACTGAGGTCATTCTTTAGCAAATCTCTCCCACCTTTTAAACCAGGTAATTCTGGGAAGAGTATGCTTCCTCTAGGACCCAGCACTAAAATGCTGCTAGTGTACAGAACAGTTAAGAAGCTGCATTTCTCAGCTACATCTGCCCTCTCTGTCTGCTAACTGGTGGCTACAGAGGAAAGATGTGTTGATTCTCCCCACAAGGCAGGTAAATATATCACAGCACACCTTGGAGGCCAAGTCATTCTAACACTTGGAGGAAGAATTAGGATCACATAAAGCCAACATCCCTTTTTCTCCTCTAAATTTCAAGGGAAAAATAGTGTTGGTTGTTTATGTGGTTAGACTAGCTATGATTCATATGTTTTTGGGGAAAGACAATCAGAGAGAGGCTCAGAGAAGAGTAATTCAATCTAGTGGGAAAATCCAATGTTCCGGCTAATCATTTAAGACACATGAACTATCAACAGTGCCTGGCTGAAAATGGGATTTTTCACACTGTACACTTTATCTTTATTTTCAAGGCTATTGATTAGCTTCATTAAATATCCTTCTTTAAACTGTCACATTACAGTTTTAACAAATACCTAGGCCAGAAATGTCAAATTTGCTTCTCAGATTCCCCTCCCCCAATTTTTGCAAATCTACCTAAATAACCACTGTGATAACTAATTACTTTCTACCCAAGTTGAATTAGACCAAAATCCTCCATTAAATAAATGCAAGTATTTTTCAAACAGCTATTCAATCCACATATTGATTCCTGAAATCTCCGTGTTAAAGTTGAAATCATTGTGTCTCGCTTATGCTCTGAGCTGAGCCCTTCTTACTGGATAGGGTCGCAGTAAACCAGATAGACACCCGCCTCTTTCTTTTAGGTATGGCCGTGGTACAGCTCATTAGTGCTGCCGTGGCCATGGCTCACATTTAATGCTACCCAAGTCTTTCTACAGGTAGCCAGAGGGTTCCTGTTAAACAGCCTTTCTCTCCATCCCTGCTCATCTGTATAAAACAAAAGTAACCAGGGGAAGAAGGGGAGATTGATGCAAAAGGAAAGTGCATTTGATTTGCTCAAGTGCAATGCCTCCGGGGAAACATCTTGGAGAGAATGAGTTTTCTGGGGCGAGTCCTATTAGACACCTAGCCTTCTCAGTGCCTTGGATTAACCTGTCTCAGACTTTCTTGTTCCTACTTGAAGGTGTCAGGTACAGCCTCAGGACACAAAGTACTGCCAAGTCACACTACCAATCAAAGGTGAGCAGTGAATATGAGGTGAAGCCACACGGACCAGCTGCTCCATCTGTACGGAATGGGAGCACAAAAGGAAGGAAGAGAGATGGAGGGCTTTTGAGAAAGGTAGGAGAAGAAAGAGGAAGAGGTTGGGAAGAGCACGCGAAAGTAAGACAGAATGGTCTGCTCTGGAGCAAGAAATGTCACTGTGATCACACTGTGCGTTCTGGCCTCACACCCCTGTGGGATTCCTTTAACCCCTGAAGATGCCCAATCTAAATGGGTAAATGGAATATCATTGAACAGGACTGGCCAGTCATTTGAAGTGAAATATACAGCGATGCTTCACGCTTAAAAAAAAAAATACTTGTGTAGATGTTGGCCTTCTTCATACACAAGTGAGGTACTAGAGCCCAGATATTAAGCTCTGGGTTTTACTTCCTTACTGGCTCGATTGTGAATTTCATCTCCGATATGAAGAACACTGGAAATCATCCCTTAGATATGAGTCTCAAACAACCCAGAGAATGAGATTAAAACTGAAATTCCAATTTGTAACGAACTGTGTAAGTGGGTGAGTCATCCTGGCATTTAGTAGCACCACCCTCATGGCAGTCTTCTCTACTGAAATCACCCTGAAGACCTGAGGCCCAGCTCCTCCACCTTGGCACGCTTGGTTCTATTAGATGCATACAGCATGGGTGATGCTGGATGTAGACATTCAGACTTCATTATTTCTGAACAAATGTGAACGGAAATGCTTGCCATTATCTGAGGCAGCAAGGATTTCTAAGAAAGGTCTGAAAGATGAAGAATTGGGTCATCACCAGTAATAGCATTTAAGGTCTGTAAAAAGTGGAAGCGGCTGCTGTTAAATATAGCATGGGAGCCAGTGGTCTAGATTAACTCTCTCACACAGACTGAAACAGTGACATTTCTCCTGATCAGTTTTCAGAGATCTCACCCTTCTCATTTTTCATTAGAAAAAAAAAATATGCTGACGAGTAACAGATTCTGAATTTGACATCGCTTTTATAGTGTGTTTTGCCTATAAATATTAGAGGTTCTAAAGCAAGCTATGTGCCACAGTGAGAAGTATCTATCATGTGCAGGGATTTGTGGGTAAAAAGGAAATGAAAGATCAGATGACATTCTAGAACTTCCAGGAACTGCTAATAATGTAAGAACATGTGGTTGTTTGGGATGGAGGTAACCTACAAGCAAGGGCCACCCCATAATCTACCTAAAAGCCCTAATCTACATGTCATAAAGTTGGTTCTGATGTACAGGGCCCTTCGAAGGCAGGAGAGAATGACTCTGTAGGGTTTCCAAGGTTGTAAATATCTGTGGAAACACATGCCTCATCTTTCTTCCTCAGAAAGGCTGGTGCGTTCCAACCACCGACCATGAGGGCTGACTCCAGGTGCTTTAACCACTGCTGCACCAGGGCTCCTTAGTCTATGGTCTAATCAGTGTGTCCTCCTCTCCTTCTCCACTTGTCTCTCGTTAAGTAGTAAAATGGGAAACAAGGACAATGATAAGTTACATCTATTTACTTGGAACAAAGGCGTCTGGATATCGGTACAAACTTTTGATCTATTTGTTTGAAATCACTACTATTAATATTCAAATATTTAAGTGCATACGTTTGAGGATTCAGAAATCTTTAAAAATGTAATTCCAGCTTGACTACCAGGGGTGTGAACCTCCCTGGGCAAGGCAGCTATGAAAGTGCTTCCCACTTCTTTCCCTTTTATGTAGAAGAGGAGGATGAGAGCGTAGTGTGTAAGCTTTGGTCCAACTCTAGCTTTTAGGAGAACTTCATGCTCCAGGAAGAAGGTGGTGATGAAACTGTGGTATGTGGACAGTAAAATGAAAGGAGATCTCTGAGGACATGAAGTGAGTTCACTGCTTTCGTCTTGTGGCTGGAAAAACCGTGCTGGATATGCTTTTCTTTGAGAGGGATGGAAACTAGTGGTGACAGAATAAAGGAGAGGGGGCAACCTCATGGCACAGGAAAAGATCTGTCCCCGAGGGATCACTGAGAATGTGGCTCACTGCGGGGTGAGAAGGGATTTCAGGGGCACCAGGCAGTGGCGGTTCTCAAACTCTAGCAAGCATCAGAATTCCCTGAGAGGGCTCATTAGTGGACAGTCAGCTGGGTCTGCACTCAGAGTTTCAGAGTCTGGAGACCCGAGGGACCAAGACTCTGTGTTCTGAACATTTTCCCAGGGGCCACTGGTGTAGGCATCAGCCGGTGAGCATGACAGAGTACACTGCAGGGAGCAAAGCAGGAAAGATGGAATCCAAGAATCAAACTACAACTAAGAGGTCTCAGTGCTAGTATTTTTTTAAAGAAATTATATATATACAAGAATTATATATACACTATCTATATTTATATATGTATCTACCTATATGCTTCTCTAACTCTTTGTGTGTGTGTGTGTAAAGAAAGGTTAACTGGATCCAGTAATCACTCCATTTTAGTGACCGTCATTCCCACTATTGTTATTAAACTTCAGGACTAGGAGGCCTGGGTACTCACATTCGAATGGATATGAGCTTTTCTAATCTGGCACTCCTCTTCCCATATAGAGGGTGCAAAGATGAGAGAGAACATTCTTGCAGAGAGAGGTGACCCATGACCAACCTTGAAAACTGATCTTCAGGAAGAAAACAAACAAAACCAAACAGAAAGGCTCAGGGACACTGGACAAGGAAGCCGTAAGCTCTGCGGTGTGACACGACCACGCACAGACGTCCACTGAACTTGGACCACAAACACAACTCACAGGCTGTTTTTACTGCATTCTCAGTTTTGTTTTGTTTTGTTTTTTTTGGGGGGGGAAGGCTGTGTTTTTCTTCTGTTGGCAAATTAAATCTTTAATTTCTTTCTTCCACAATCATTCTATGATCGAACTGTACATTACCTATAAATGCACGCACCCTGTGTCTCTCTGTCCCTTTGTCCTTGCTCTCCAGCCCCCACCCCTCAACCCTCAGCTCCTCAGTCGGCCCGCATCTTTTCTTTGTGAACATTCGCAGGATCTGTACTCTAGTCCTCACCTGTCAGGTTTACTGCTCCATTTTAATGCAGCAAAAAGGGAAAAAGAAAGGCTAAATGTTAGTTGGCCAATGGTAACAAGAGTAACCATGACAACCAGGATTTAAGACACAGCGCCAATGAGCAAGGACACACCACTGACACACATGAAGGAGTGACAGGCAGTGCCAACAAGCAAGGACACACCACTGACACACATGAAGGAACAACAGCTCAACACAGCTCATTCCCAGGCTTCCAGTCGTGAGGAGAATGGCGGAGACGGGGGTGCGTTGCCAAAGCAAGTGCTTCTCGTGCTCACGTCACCTTCAATTTTACCCATCACCCACACAATCACGCCACAATTACCGAATTATATCCAAGGAGGTATTCCACACGAAGGATATAATTTGATTTTCAGAAAACATGCCAAGGAAAAGCTACCAATGTACTTAATGAGAGTACAGCATTATCCCTTATTAGATGTGTTCACTGAAAATAAAAGCCAGCAGTCGGAAGGTACACGATCCCTCTAACAATGCCTTTGATCTGCCCCAAGTTTGTACAACCTTTTGATAAACTATTAGTTACTCAAGTGGCAGAAATGATTTCTTCAAGCATCCAGGAGTCAAAAAGTAATCTCCCCCCACCTCCGGAAGGACTGAATACATATGGAATTTTGGAAAGAAAAATACTTATCATTATGATTCTACAGACTAAAACCCATTTATATAGGTGGATTAATACAGAAAACGTATTTTATTATTGGCTACAGTCACAACTTGTACTTCTTTGTTTTACTGGTGATTTTAATGAAGTGTGCTAGAGCAAACTGACTTTTCATTCAGTCCCTCCAACACACTTTGTTTTATGACACTAATTGGAATCTAGTGTGGTCCATGCTCCCTCATCCTCCCTGAGATTCTGTTTTCCATGAATCCTTCCCTCCCCACCTTTCCTGCTACTGGGCTTTATCGTAAGTCCATGCTGTCCTTCTGATCTTGTGTGGATGACTGTTCTTCTAAGAGGTGAGAACCTCTGTGGTGGGACTGTCCACCTTATAAGCCTGTCTCCTGTTTGGGTGGACACTGAGCCACAGCAGTGAACTTCATTCTAGGCTCAAAGAGTGACTAAGGGCTACAGTCCTGGGGGTCCCACTAGGGCTCATGGGGCCAGTGATCCTGGACCTTTTTACAAGCCATGTACGTTTCTCATAGAGGAAGTGCTGTAAAACATGTCTGCAACATGTAAGCAGTCTGTAAACATGTCTGACATATGTTTACTAGCACTGTGATAATGCATAAAAATGTTCTAATAGCCAAGCAGCTTGTGCAGCGAGTACAATGTCTTCCCAAGAAGAAGCAACAGAGACAATCTTCACACCGAGGCCAATGGCAATGCATTACGTGGCTTCTCGGTTATTTAAAAAACAAAAGGGTATCTAGACTTCTCAGTGCCAATGAAATAAATAGTCAATATGAAATAATCCAATCCATTTTATCCCCAAATTCAAAACCTACATAAATGGAACAAATGCATACCTACACTGTGAATGATTAAAATAATATTGAATACACTGGTCCTTTCATTTTATGCCTACTTTAAAAATTACAGAGTTATTGTCATGTGCCGTCAAGTCGCCTGCAACTCATAGGGACCCGATGTGCAACAGCTCAGAACTCTATCCTGAGTCAACCTTATTGTCTCTGACACACCTGCTCCTATTGTCATGTTTAAAAATATCTTACATGTGGGATCTTCATTCTTTTTTATCAATGAAATAGTAAGTCAGTGGTAACAGTGTATGTTACCCAGTCAAAGAGAACCGGTAACCTAATGATCAGCTTGTGTACTGAGTTAGCTTCAGTGTCTGGGTGCACAAGTACGTAACTGATACACATTTCAACCCATCTTCCACTGAAATGTCACGCCTATCATATACACGGGTATCTGTTCAACACAAATTTCAAAGGTGGAAGCTTTTCTTTGGGAACTAGGAAGTGGAAAAAAATCACCTACGCTTTATTAACAGTCTTGTTTGCTTTGATGGAGGCAATACCGAGCACCTGAGGACACGGGCGAGACCATCAAGTTGGCTCAGTATTGTCTGACTTGTTTTTAGTCAACGACTGAGTCCCCATCCACTCCCCCCTACTCTGTTAGGCACTCTGGGCACAAAGAGAAATAAGGCGAAATCCTTGTCCGACAGGTCAGTGGGGAAAGAAAAAGAGATACGAAGGCAGCCTGGCAGGGGAGTGATGGTTCACTGGTTCTACTCTTGCCTTGTACCCAGGAGATCCAAGTTCAACTCCTGGCCAAGGCGCCTCACGCACAGCAAGAACTTATTTTGTCAGTGGAGGTTTCCATGTTGCTAAGCTCAAACAGTGCAGTTTCCTGACTAAAACAGACTAGGATGAAGCATCTGGTAGTTCACTTCCAAATATTAGCCAGTGAAAACCTGACTTTGTTGTAACCGAGTTTGCCATGACTTGGTGACCACCTCAACTGAACCCAAAAGTAACAAGAGGTAGGTGAGAGTAGGAGGAGAAAGGGGAAAGGCGGCAGCATCCAGAAAGACATCATGTGGTAGGTGTCATGTCACTCTAATTCTAAAAGATAAGTCAGAGTTAGCTGGCCAGGACAAGTGGCAGAGAAGGGATGGGAGGGCCCTGCAGGCATAGGGAGGGGCATATGCAAGAGTCGGAGGAGATTAGAAATGGCATGTGCTGCCAGCCTGAAGACACACGGTTCAAACCCACTAGCTGCTCCTTAGGAGAAAGCTGGAGAATCTCCTCCCATGGAATTTACTGCCTCTGAAAACCCAGTGGAGGGTCAGCTACGCATCAGTTCTGACTCAACAGCACTCAATGAACAGTGTGACACCAGGAAGCTGCACATGTCTTCAGAGCATCATCAAGATATGTGGGACAGTTTGGATGTATTTGTAGGTGTCAGAGAAAGAAGACCAGAGAGGTAATGTCTCCACAGGGTCAGTGCTGGAGCTGAGAACAGCAGGAAGAGCTGGGCCTTTGCTGTTGTCCTAATTCCTGGGAGGTGAAAACAGCTCAGTATTGAGCTGTTAGCCAAAATGACAGAAGGTCAAGTCCAGGTCCATGTAGAAGTTTCTGGTGATCTACTTCCAAAAATTCAACCATTCAACAGTTCTGCCCAGACATCTACAGGCACTTGAGTCAGACCAGAGTCAAAGGCAAATGTTATCATTTATTCACATCAATCTCCTGGCTTTTATTCATAAATACTTGAGTATTTTGAGTACATATAGTTGGAAATGGATTAATTACTCTGTCTATAATGTCTACTTAAGTTAGACTATTGCCTTTCAAGAATGATACTGTCATGCATTTTTTAAATTCCCTACTGTCCTAAACATATACTTTTACTTCCATAGTATAATGCAAATTATTGATTACTAATTACTGATCACATTCATCAGATGCTTTTCTATAGAATCAGGTTAATGTTTTATTTTTTAAGTATTTCCAGTCTACTAAAATAATTCCTGGGAATTCCTAGATTACATCGATAGCAAGTGTGCAGGGCAGATAAAGATCTAAAATCACACAACTGCTTTGTGGATTAGTTTATTAGTGGTGAAAGGCAGGTCCATATTTGCAATAAAACAAAATACAAAGACACAAAAATCTGCTATATCTCTCTCACTATCATCGAGTCAGAACCAACTTATATGAATGAACCTCTACTGGGTTTTCACATGGGAGGAAACTGTCTTTCTCTGATGGAGTAGATGGGAGATTCGAACTGTGCACCAATGGATTGGGTGCACGAACTCTTTGCCACTAGGCCACCAGAGATTTCTAAATATGCACTACTACCCACACCATCAGCTGGTTTTGGATGCAGTAAGGTTACAGACTATTACTGTTTAAAAGTTTTAACTACATCTTCTACATCCTAATTTAACAAATGAGGAGACAGAGGCTCAGAGATAGGCAATGACGTGAAGATGGCAGAATGAGACTTGAACCTGACTGCTCATCCAATGTTTTAAGTCTATCTAACATATCTTCTCAGCCCATTTAAATGATTAAATTTAGATTATCACATATATGATATTACCAATCACAAATTAACCCATATCGATCATATATAATTATAAATTTTATATGATTTCTTCATATAAAATTTCAAAAAAATCAGCCATAGATACTGAAGACCTACTAAAGACCTATCAATCAATAAAGACTTAAAGAAAGTATTATTTAATTTCCTGATGATACCGAAGGCATTTCAGAGCACAATAAAGCCTACAAGGTGTTATTTATTTATTGATTACTAAGGAATTGGAATCAAGGCACCCAATCTACCACCTTAGATTAGTCAGTTCAGACTCTGGCAACCATCTGAATCTCAACAGGTGCAGAATGACACAAGGTAGGGGAATTTGAACCACTGACCTTTTAGCTAGCAGCTTAACACATAAACCACTGCACCATATGTGTTCCTTCTTAATTATTAAATATTGTTGTTATGTGCCATCGAGGTGCCTACAACTCACAGCGACCCTATGCCAGCCCCGCGTATGTATAAATAAATGACCAGGTTAAAACAAAGCCAAATGAAGAGAATGCCGGATAACAGAGTTTCTTATTTCCACATCAATGCAATTAATAGGAATATATTTCTAGGTCCCCCAGACAACTGGGTAAAGCATACTACTTCACATACATAAAACATTCTTTTGAGATACAAATCATTCTTCTAACCCAAGCATCTTGTAAGCAGGTGCAGATGAGAACTGGGATTACTAAGACAATGTGAATAAAGGCTATTTTAAACTCCTTCCCTTTTCAAAATATGACTTTGCATTCCAGACATAAAATACGTTAACAATAACAACACTGATAATAATGGTAGGTCCAATTCTGAGTCAATGACCTGTGTATAGACCAAGAGGCATCTATGCGGAAGGATCAAGTATTTATTATGTAATTAACTTTGTTCAGCATCCAAGCTCTAACAGCCACTATTCATGGAGAACAGAAGATTTCCTATTGAACTGCCTCACGATAATCAAGAAGGACATTGTTGGGTCTACTTGAATTTCAAGTCAGGAATGCGCTTGACTGCTGAAGCCAGCATTTCTATTTAAGAATCACTCTGTGGGCCTTCAGATGGCTACCTAAATATACTTAGCATTCGAGGATGTCTGCTCTCTCCAACAATCGCTTTAGACGATAGTTAGATGTGCTCATGCTAAAATGTGACTCTCTTTTTTTAACATGCATAAAACCTTCAAATGTGATGCGTCTTTTTTTGATCGTTCAGGCCCAAATTATGACTGTTTTTGTCAGACACAAATAGATAAAGGAAAACAACGATCACTCTGTAAAAAATGATGAATGCTATTTCTTCCCACTTACATAACAAATTCAGCGGCTAAGCTTGTCTGTATAAAGTGGTAACTCAAGGAGAGGCAGTTATATGAAAATGAAACAACTGCAAACAGAAGGCAGGCATCTTTCCATTTGGGATCACAGAATGCCCTGCGACATGCCACTGACATGAGCTGGTAGTAAGCACTGGTTTGCTGATCTGATTCCCACAGAAGGGTGTGAGCTTCTAAAGAAATATCTCCCAGAAAACATTCAGAAGCCTCCCTTTACTGTTTGGTTTTGGATTTTTTAAATAACTGTATAATGTTCTAGAGATAAAAACAGACAAGAAGGTCTGGCCTGGACTCAGGATCCATTATTACACTGGGGCATGGAGACGTGGTACAAAAGACAGAGGTGATGCCACATGATAGACTCTTTAAAACGCACTCTGCCAAGGGATGGGATTGGGAAGACCCAAACCAGCCATTCAGACATAGTTTTTGCCTTCAAAACTTGCTTTCCCCCCAGTTCTGCTAAGGCACGGATAACTGAGTGACAGCAGCTGTTAGGAAAAATAATGATGAGTATTTCTTTCATTCTTTCTAGTTCTGAAAGAAGAAACTTAATGGGTTATGGTTATTAACTTCCTTTCATTTGTACCCTTTCCCATCCATTCTTCATTCACACTGGACTAAATGCCACGTGGACTTCAAGGAGATAGTTTTTCAACATGGAAGTGAACTGAAGGATTTATTTTTTTTTTAAAAAAAGTCAAGATATATATATATACACACACACAGTGCTATAGTTCGCTAGTCCAGGAACATAAGAGCCTATTTAACAAGGGGATAGGAGTAGACATAATTAATATCAACCTAATGGAGCAAGGTATATGGATAGGAAAAAGAAATAATGGAAATGAGATTGTAAGATTAAGCACTGAAGCAGAATCAGAGTGAAGACATTTCATTTGATCTTGAAGCCCAAGGTTATGGAGAGAAATATTCAGGAACAGAGAGAGAGAGAGAGAAGGAAAGAAACTACACTTCTGTGAAAGGATGAGATCTTCTGTGTATCTGTATTCTTAGACAAATCACACCAAAATGGCAAATGCTAACACGGTGAATAAAATTTTGTGGAAAAGAAATCAGATAAAAGGTGATGAAAAGAAAACCAATCTAATACAGGAATAATCACTTCAAGGATTTTAGAATTTATATCTAGATAATTGTATAACGTTATTTTTGGCTAAGAAAGGAGAGGAAATACAAGTTCAATGTCTTCTAGTTAACTGAATGGGGAATTAAGAAAAAAAATTGCTTGCATGTAGTGGAAATATAAATAAATGAAAACAAACCAGAAAATAAAAAAGAATGGAAAATCAGAAAGACTGGGTAGCAATGAATTATTTGTAGCCAAAATACCAAGTTACAAAGATACTTGTTGCTACGAAGCCTGTGGCAGCATTTTCTTTCTCTGTACTTAGTTATGAAAAATACCACCTCAGCACTGAAGACTGAAATAGGTACTATATGAAGGGAATGTGTTCCTTGCATTCCTCCTTGGACATAAAGAAGAACACGTTACGGGAGAAGTGACAGTGGAAAGAAGAGGCACCACTCTTCATCTATCACTCATTTTTAAATTTGATCCTCAAATTTTATCTCCTTTGGATAAACTCTGAGAATCGGCTCTAGGAAGAGAATCTCAGCATATGTGTATGTTCAACTTATGAAATGGACACAGATGTGGGAACTGTCAGTGTTGCAAAGATGATGTTGAAATCAAGCAACTGATCAATGAAAACAATTAAAAAGCACACTTGCAGGGGCAACAGCTGCTTGCGGATTTCCTAAGTCTGCATTTGCATGCACAATGCTTTGATGGCGGGAAGCAGCTCAGAAGATGGCTGGAAGAAACCCCACATGCATGTAGATTCCACACACGGTATGAGATTTGAAATGGCACAGACTTTTCATTAAGCTTCTAAATCTAAAGGAAACAGGATTCCAAAATCGTCTTGGTTGCACTAAAGCACTTCTACTACGTTCAACTGCATCACAAAAACACAGAATGACTGTTACGGCTCTCAAAACAGGGCAGCCTGCGATGGAAATACCGGGCAAGCTTACCTTTTATAAAGAAGGATTGCAATGACAATACAGATGATGAAAACCACTGCAAGGACAGGGCCCACCACCCAGATCAAGCCTTCCTCTTCATCGGTGATTGGCTGTGGATCCAGGTCCATGGAGACCACAGGGTCGGAGTAGGGGCTGGTTGCATACATCTTCTGAGGAGAAAAAAAATCTATTTCAGTAATAAAACAAAGGCATTTTAAATTATACATAAAATGCAAAGGAAACATTTTTAAATAGTCTTTATTCCTCTCTTTAAATGACATTCATCAAATTCTATTGTCCTCTGTATGCCGACACTTTCTATTTTTTAATAAATTAGGAATTCCTGGAAGGTAGAATTTCTTTTCCACCTGGCTTTTTCTGCTTAAAGCAGGGAACACAGAATTTTACACTTGGAAGGTTCTCAGGCAAATATTTGTTGAATATAATATATTGTCCACCTTCTTTTTTTAAAATTAATTTTAATGAAAGTTTACAAAGACTTAGGGTTTCCAGTCATTCACTGTTGCACTTTTCTCCCTCCCCACCGCCTCCCCACCAATTCACTCTTCTTCTTGAAAAGAAACACTCTCTCATTGTTATGCAATCCCTCCCCTCCAAGTCCACTCCACTATGAAGCTACTGGCCACCTTCTTAAACAGCTGAAATGACCAACACATGAAAGCACAAGCTCATTTTTTGAATGAAAAATCAGTGTATTTCTTTTCTAAAGTTTGGGGAACACAGGGTTCAGTGAGGACTTCATGAGGTGGCACTCAAGGAAGCCATGCGCCCAGCACCCTTTCTTCCATTGGGGAGTAAATAAGAAGGGAAGTGGGATCCATGCTGAAGCATCCAAGTATTCTCATCTTCTCCACTGGGCTCAGGAAAGAGATTAACTAGCTTTTCAAATGCAATAAAAGAAGATGAAAACTCAGTATATTTCCAGTCTTCTCAGAAACAGCTTGAAAGAAAAAAAAAAAAGGAAGGAAAGAAAAATATGTGTGGTGTAAGGCTTTACACAAAGGGCTTGGCAAGCTGACCGGTATCAGATAATATGATTCTTTACAGCAGTAGAATTGTTTGTTTTGGTTCATATTTTCCCTCTCCATCTGTAGGTCACACTGAAATTTTTCAGTGGACTGAAGTAAGCAAAACTTTCTGATCTGAAATTCTTTTCCAAGTGGCTTTGAGATAACAATCTTGTCTGCCAAGATGGAAACCTAAGTCCAGCTCTTCCCAAAGCGTTTAGATATTTCTATCCCCAGTCAGGAAGCAGATATGAAAAGGGAAAGGAAACAAAGCCAGAGTGAGAGAGAGACCAGCTTCATGAAAAGTGGAGCTGGTTGAGCACGTAGGGGGAAAAGGAAAGATTAAACCAGTCAAAACCAGTTCTCTACGCTCTTACTAGGAAACTCTGGTGGCCTAGTAGGTAGCGTTGCGTTGCCAACCAAAAGGCAGACAGTTCAAATCCACCAGCAGCTCGTGGGGGGCAAGATGGGCCATTTCTTCCCATATGATTCAGTGTCTACAAACCCACTGGAGGGTCATTTATGAGTCAGTTCCTATCTGATGGAAAGAGCTGAGTCAAACTGATGGTGTGGTCTGTAGGGAGACACACTGTTAACCCAAAGACTGTGCCTCTGGTGGTTCAGCCATCTCCAGCCTTGTCATCTACAGCCTCCGAAAACTGACTGAAGGTCAGTTATGAGTGGATTCTGACTTGATGGGAATGAGTTGAGTTGATGCTCTGAATATAAAGAGAGGATTAGGAAAAAAGCCCTTTCGAAGGGTGAAGAAGAGTTGCTATTTCCTTACTGTAAATTATCAGTTCTCCTCTGGGGAGGCTGGGCACTTTATCAACGTTCAGCCATGGACATCTGAGGCTTTCAAAAGGCCTGTATCACCCTAACGTTGAACTGATCGCAGGATCCTTGCTTACCATGCACGCTGAACGGAAAGCAGTCATGAAACTTCGGTGTTGTCAGCTATGTGAGCAGGGTGGGATGTGATTAGGGTGTGGGGAGCAATTAAGGTGTGGAGTGCGATTAGAGTGTGGGGTGCAATTACGGTTTGGAGTGAGATTAGGGAGCCAAATGGGTCAGTTTTTAAATGACCTGTCCGAGCCACAAATTACAAAATCTGTGAATAAATGAGACAGCTGAAATAAAGAGACAGATTCTTTAACAATGAGGATACATTTACAGGCTACTGGAAATATCTAAGAGAGATGCGGAACCGCATTAATGATGACAGTACGCTACAGCCTAGATCCAATGGGATTTCTCTTCTCTGCTGGATTCTCTGATCTGCCTCAATGTTCTAAACGTGATTGTCAGGATGTTCCTAGAGCTATTTAAAGAAAATACTTCTCAAATATCTAAAAGTAATTTCTTTTTTAAAAAATACACTTTCCAACATTCCATTCCCTTGATGTTCTGCTTTAAAAACCTTCCACTAGAAAGAGCAAGCATATTGGTGCATTAAACATTCCAGGGTGCCCACCACTTGGCTTCCAAATGTCATTCGGTGTACAAAGGAAATGCATGCAGGAAAGCTGCCTCTGTGCTTTGATTTTCCACCGAGAAAACCCTCCCATCATCTGAAGAAAGCCCCATTCCACATGCCCAGGGTGGAGGTATCTACTACATACACACGAGTAGGCACTGGCTTGGTTGAGCACCCTGTCTGTCAGATTCCAATCTCAATTAGAGAGCTACAGTCAGACTGTGTATATTGTTAAGCTGGATGGCCACTTCCACATCCAGCTCCCATTCCCACCTACACTGCCCCCTCCCTCTTATTTTATTTTAAACATTTAAAGCAACTCAAGCATAAAATGACGCCAGAGCCAAGATGAGTTACATAAAAGAAGGTAACTCATGATTTGGCGTGAATCCTCAACGCTACTGAATTACTTTCCAACATTCTTAGCTCCTCACTGATAAAAATGATTATGAAATTGCTCTAATTACAGGAGCCGGACCTGCTGGCTCCTTCCTAGACATACTTTTCCCCGGAGTCTGGGGAGCCATCGATGAGGTCTTGAAGGCAGTTATAGGAAAACAAAGTACCACTACTCCAGATGCAGCATGTCCAACACCTGGTGACATGCTGGCTGTGTCACATTTCTGATCTGGTTAGCTCCCATTCTCACCAGATGAGCAAATAGCAGATATTAGACAAGATGGGAATGTCCTAACTTCTAAGTTGTTGTCCAGGCAGTTTTCTTTTCATAGTGACCCCATCACTCATTCATTCCTCCACTGCTCATAGTGGACCCTGTCTTGGCTTTCTGAGGCTGTAAATCACACAGGAGGAGCGTACCCCTCTCTCTTTCTCTGAGCTGATGGATAAGAATCTCTGGAGGGGTTCAGCCTTGGACCTGGCACCATAACTCTCTATAAACGACACCACTGACTCAACAGGACACGGTCAAAGTACTAACAGGGTTTCCAGGCTCATCTTTACAGGAACAGACTGCCAGCTTCTCTTTGCCCGGTGCCACGGCTGGGTTCACACTACCAACTTTTACTTAGCAGCTGAATGCTTAAATGCTGTGTCACCAAGTCTTTATTAAAATAAAAACAGACATTCAAAACAACCGACGACATAGACTATGAGCAATGAGGATTATCACCCGCTTTTTAGAGATGTGTGTTGCATCAAAAGGTCTCCAGAAACAAAGCCTATCAATTTAATTGTTAGTTTAGTAGAAGTCCACCTGAATTCCTGTCGCCATCATTATAGGCATATTCTAACCAATGACGAGAGATCTTACATGGCACATTTAACAACATCTAAGGAGTAGGCGGCCTGAGAAAACGTCTGAGTAAATGGCCACACCCGAAAGTCCACTGATGTCAACAACTGTGGCTTTCCAATGGGGCAGCTGGTGGGTTAGAACTGCCCACCCTTTTACTCTACAGCCCAACACCTGACCCGCTGTGCGTCCAGGGTTCCTTAAGCTGATGAGAACTCCCGAGAAGGGAAGAGGACGGTGCGGTGGGGAGACGGCAGCACCCCGGGACTCACCGACTCGGCGTGCTCCATGACAGCCAGCACGAAGAAGACATACTCCTGGCCGCTCTGGAGCTGCTTGTTGGTGAAGCCACCGTAATGCTTGTCATCGCCCAGCGTGAACTCCGTGGGAAGCACATCAAAGTGAGCAGCGATGTATGGCTTTAATTCCACTTCTCTCCCGTAGCGGAGGCTCCTGCGTTTCCTAGATATCTCCTTGAGGAGCTTGAGAGGGAGAGAGAGGGACGCAGAATGAGAACCACGCACGAGAAGAACCCCAATTACTGACAGACTAACGGGACAGACGAACTCAGACCCGTGAACAGCTCAGATGCAACTTGTCCACATTTCACTGCAACATCACTAAATTTCATCTCCTTCAGCAATAAGATGCCAGCTTTTCTGTTAAAGACGCTGGTCTGATCCCGATGGCGCCAGGTTATAACGCAGGGCAGTAAGATTCTTTCTTGGCCAGTCACATCACTGTCCACACTAATAAAATCCTGCCAGGGGGGCACAGTGCCATGAAATTCTTCTCTGCCGATGGGAGAGCAGAAATTTTGATTCATAAATGCCTGCCAAATAGGGAGATTTATTAAACAAGTATAAAAAGTTTAGACTCAAGGGGTCTAAACTTTTCAGACATGACCAAGCTTTAGATGTCAGTAGCATTGTCAACTGTTCTTAATAATGAGATCATGTCTATGGTACATTGTTTTGTTAGGGACCTTGGCATCAGCTCTGACTCACAGTGACCCTACTTATGATAGAATAAAACCCCGCCCTACCCTGGACCACCATCAGAGTCTCCACTGGGCTGAAGCATATGATTTGTTGTTGGGTGCCGCCAAGTCAAGTATGACTCACACTGATCCTATGAACAATGGGTCTGAACCCTGTCCTGTCCTGTGCCGTCCTCATCATCTCTGACACACGTGAGCCCACTGCTGCAGTCACTGTGTCCATTCATCTCACGGAGCATCTCCCTCTCACTGACCCTTCACATTTCCAAGTATGATGTCACTTCTTATGGAACGGCACTATCCCCAAAGTGTGTGAGAGAAAGCTTTGCGGTTCTTGCCGCTCAGAAGCACACAGCTACATTTTACCCTAATGATACTGGTTCTTTCAGCAGTCTATGGGATCCCAAACCACAGTTCAAAGGCATCAAAACTCACTCGTCCTTATTACTTATCCAGTTCTCAGCAGCATACCAAGGAAATGAAAAAAAATCATTGTGGACTGAATGAGGTGAACCTTATTCTTCAAAAGGACATCACTGCTCCTCAGAACTTGGGAGAGCTCCCTGACAGTAAATGTTCTCAATGCAATATGTCTCCTCATCTGACTGCTAGGACCAGTGATTTAGATTTTCTCAAATCAGCAGAAACAGAGTACAAGAAAATATTTTTAAAATACACATATATTAAGGAGATTTTAAAGTTCTGGCTTGACGAGTTTCATTAATTAGCCATTTGGAGTTTTGCTTCTCACATTTCACTGGGAACTGGACCTATGGACAGACCTTGGCTGTCTGGGAGATAAATGACTCCACTGGGTAATCTCAGCACTGGCATCACCAGTATAGTACATCTGGACCATCTGATGATGAGTTAAGATCGGCTGATTAACTACGCAACAATCAGTCAGTGATACAGCAAAGTCAGAAGCTTTGCAGCAGCCTATTAAGTCAAATTCACTGTCGTTTTCTTTATTCCAACTCTTGGTGACTTGTCATTGGGTTTCTGAGGGCTATAAATCTTCAGTGGGAAAGACTGCTCATCTTTCTCCCGAGGAATGGATTCGAACCACTAACCATTCAGTTAGCAGCCCAACCAAAATGCTCAGGGCGCTCTGGTGGCCTAGTGGCAAGAAGCTGTCCTGCAATCCTTGAAGGTATGTGGTTCGAGGCCACTAGCTGCTCCATGGGAGAAGGATGGGTAATCTCCTCCCATGCGATTAACTGATTCTGAAAACCCTTGTCAGCTATGGGTCCCTTCCAATGTGATGGCAAACAACAGGCGTTATGACACCAGAGTTCCTTAGATTGTTGACAGATGACATAAACCATCAAAATTAGCCATTATCTTGAAGTTAGAGTCACAAATGACTGCATTATCTCAAGGTGAGCCTTAGAAGTATGGAGCAATGAAAAGCTCTGGCTATACGACTGTTGTGAATTAAATGGAACTAATATGTCGGGTTAGGAAGGGCATACACCGATGTGTCCTGTCTCCGTATCTTTTCAACCTGTATGCAGAGCAGATTATCCGGGAGGCTGGTCTCTATGAGGAGAAATGGGTCATCGGGATTAGTGGAAGATCTATCAACAATCTGCATTATGCGGATGACACAACCCTGCTTGCTGAAACTGAGGAGGACCTGAAGCACTTGCTGCAGAGGGTCAAGGACTGCAGCCTCCAATATGGGTTGAGGCTCAATGTCAATAAGACAATGATTCTCACCACTGGACCAATTGGCAGCATCAGAGTGGATGGTGAAGAGATTGAGATTGTTCACAGCTTCAGTTTGCTTGGCTCCACAGTCAACACTCTTGGCACCAATAGCCAGGAAATTAAAAGTACTGTGATGGGAAAGTCTGCTGTTAGGGACCTCTTCAAAGTACTGAAGAGCAATGGTGTTTCTCTGGAGTCTAAGGTGCGTCTGACACAGGCCATGGTCTTTGCAATCACTTCTTATGCATCAGAGAGCCGGACAATGACTAAGAAGGATAGAAGGAAGAATTGATGCTTTTGAGCTGTGGTGCTGGAGAAGAGTATTGAGAATACCATGGACTGCTAGGAAAACAAACAGATTCATCCTAGAAAGGGTTAAACTGGGCGGCTCCTTGGAGGCAAGGATTCTGAGGCTCTAACATACTTTGGACATGTTGTGAGGAGAGACCGGTCCTTGGAGAGGGACATCATGCTTGGGAGGGTGGAGGGACAGCACAGGAGGGGAAGACCCTCTATGAGGTGGATTGATTCAGTGATGGGGTGACTGGCACAGGACAGAGCAGAATTTAGGGCTGTTGTACACAGGGTCGCTATGAGTCACAAGTGACTTGATGGTACATAACAACAACAACAACAACATGTCGGGAAAATTAATTTTGACTAATAGTGTCGGCTCTACCTAATCTGACCTTCACAACAGCATGTTCACTGGATGATATTTATCATGTGAAGCACAGTCCCGATAAAGGAAAAATGAGGCCAGAAGAGAATTTTGAGAGTAACGCTGTTTAGAAGGCCTCTCTTCAATTTTCTGGGCATGGATGGAAGGCACACAGGAGGAAACTGGAAATTCCTTTAGGCCATCATTCCATTCGGTGATACGGCTCCAATCAGTTTAATTTATAGATCTTTTCTTTTAATAAAAAACATTTTTTGGACATATACATTTGAAAGAAGAACTCTGCTTTGTCAAACTTGGCAGATAAAACTACTGTTGTCATTGTTCTGTGCTGTCGAGTTGCCTGTGACTTCTAGAGATCCAATGTGCAACAGATCTGTAGCCTGCCTTGTCTGGAGCCAGTCGTTTTGTCTGGAGCCAGTCTCACGGACTCGGGCACATCTACTCCCATTGTCCCAGTCACTGTATTAATCCATCTCATCCGGGGTCTTCCTCTCCTGCATTGTCCCTTCACCCTTCTGAGCATGATATCCTTCTCCAAGGACTGGTCTTTCCGGGCCACTTGCCCAAATTATGTAAGAGGGAGCTTTAAAATTCTAGCCTCCAAGGAGAAACTTGGTTTAGCCTTCTCCAAGACAGACCTATTTGTTTTCTTGGTGGTCCATAATATATTCAAGATTTTTTCCATCACCACAACTCAAAAGCATTGATTCTTCTGTCATCCTTAGTCACTGCCCAGCTCTCTGAGGCATAGCAAGTAACTGCAAAGATCATGGCCTGGCTTTGGCACACTTTAGTCTCTAGACCGGCATCTTTGCTTTTCAGCACTCTGGAGAGATTCCTGACAGCAGATTTTCCCAGTGCAATTTATCTTCTGATTTCCTGACTTTTGGTGCCAAGTGTGTTGATTGTGGAGCCGAGAGAGAAAACTACAATGGTTTTAAATTTTTTAAAATAAACACAACTTAGGGGAGCTCTGGTTGCCTAGTGGCAAGGAGCTGCAACTGCAATCCCAGAGGCGCATGGTTCAAATCCACCAGATGCTCTGCCGGGGAAGGAGGGACGATCTCCTCCTGTACCAGTCAGATCTGATTTGACGATACACTCACACAAAAATAATAAAATTAAAAAAAAAAGAAAACAAAAATAAACACAACTTTTCTTTTACGCTGATTTACTTATAAAGTTCTTATACATTGCTTTTCCACACTGGTGCTTTCCTATTTCCTTTACCCACTCCTGCCTTCACCCATCAAACTGTGCAAACCTATGATTAACCGCCACAATCCACCCTGCCCATCCTCAACCCTCTGCTTCCTTCTTCTCCCCCTTGGAGCCTCATACACATTCTACGGTTTTATGCAGTATTTGTCCTTATGGGACTGAGTTCTTTCACAGAGCATAACGTTCTCCAGTCCCACCAAAGTTAGGCAATGATTTACAAACTCATTACTCCCACACGGTGCATAGTATTCCGTGGTGTGAATGTGTCATAATTTCTTAATCCATTTACTTGTGGTTGGACATTTGGGCTGTTTACATGTTCTTACGATGCTGAATAACACTGCTATGAACTTTGGTGTACAAGTCTCCATTAGTGCCTGAGTTTTCATTTTCTCAGTAGTGGAATAGTTGGGTCATAGGGAATTTCTATGTTCAGCTTTCTTAGGAAATGTCAAACTGCTTTCCAGAATGGTAGGACCATTTTACAATCTCACCAACAATGTATAAAAGTTCCCATCTCGTCACATCCTATCCAGCATTTATTACTTGTTGTCCTGTTAAACTTTGCCACTGATACTGGGGTGAGATGGTATCTCACTGTGGTTTTGATTGGCATATCTCATATTGCCAGTGACTTGAAGCATTTCTTCATGTGTCTGTTGGTCATCCAAGTATCTTCTGTGAAAATTCTTGCAGAGAATTGTTTAAAATAATCAAATATAATTAAAGACTGAACTCACTGGCAGCCAAGTCACACTGTTCAATTCTGCGTGCCAGACGGCTTTTTAGGAAACGGATTGCCAGCCCTTTCCTTAGTGCCTCTGTAGGATGAGTCTGAATGACCACCCATGACATGAACTGGTAAGTACAAACG